AGCTTGAGGCCTTGTCTAAAAAAAAAAAAAAAAAAGAAGAGGGGAGGTGGATCAGTAAGCTCCCACCTAATGGGTGCAATGTAGGGGTATATGGCACACTTCCTGGCTGAGCATCAACTCAGACTTTACCTTACGAATGCAAATAATGTATCCTAATCATATGTGCCCTTATATTAATCTGAAAAAAAAATTAAAAGATTAAAAAAAGTTCTAATTCAAACCAACCTCCCAGAGAAACTTAGGCCCTAATTTCAGATACTCTTCCCCAGTGCCAGTCAACTGACACATTGGCAGAATCTAGAGAGAAACCAGTTCCTCTGATTACCCCTTCAACACGTGCATGAACCAGTTGCTTTTTTCACAATCTCAGGACCCTTCCCTTATATATATGCAGCACTGAGGTGGAGGAGATGGGAGACTGGTTTAGTCAATATCCAGCAGTTCAGTACCCCAGGATTACTAGCTTAACCCCTGATAAACCCTCAGTAGTCATACAGCAAAGCTGTTAGATCTTCAGAAGAAACTTTCCAGAGGCCTTTGAGATACTGAGGTCCCAGGACCTCATGATTGAACCTTTTCAATGAAAAAAGATCAAGGAGTCAAATTTCTCCATGGCTTGCATAGGGAGTCAAAGAAGTCACCTGGAAGTGTGAATAAAAATGTTTTGGCATCCTGGGTCCGAAGCTTTGAATGGGTGGCAAGGAAGAATTTTCAGTGTAGTTAACAGGCAATGCCACTCATAGGCCCTCCACTCTGAGGAAATACCTCACTTTTGAGATTAAACAAAGTCAGGTGATTCTTGTGAGTCTGAAAAAAAGAAGCTATTATAGTTGCCCACCAAAGAACCTAATCATCTGTGTGTATTCATCTATGAACTCTTTCTCTCACCAGACACTAACAGAGTATCTACCTGCTTCAGGCTCAACAGGACTCACAAGAAAGGAACGTAGGATTATGGCAGATGACACAGGCAGAAGACTATAGAGTTTTGTAGAAGGCCTTTCTTATTGTTTTGTTTTGTTTTAGGCAGAGTCTCATTCTGTTGCCCTGGGTAGAGTACCCTAGGGTCATTGTAGCTCACAGCAACCTCAAACTTCTGGGCTCAAGTGATCCTTTTGCCTTAGGTTCTCAAGTAACCGAGACTACAGGAGTGCACCACCATGCCCGCCTGGCCAGTTTTTCTATTTTTAGTCCAGACTGGGTGTTGAACTCCTAAGCTCAAGCAATCCACCCACCTTGGCCTCTCAGAGTGCTAGGATTACAGATGTGAACCACCATGCCCAGCCTGCAGAAGGCCTTTCACATCATGTCCAATGCTAACTAAAGTTGACTCAAGGCCTTCTTGAAACGATTTACAATCTGTCTTCAATTACTATAGCAAAGTATTTTTAAGTGCCATAAACCAGAGAGGCAGAACTCTTTCAACTAATAGCAAGGTCCCCAGGAACAGTGAGAGAGATCCAGGACCTTCAAGAGAACTGACACTATCAGTGTCAGTCAGAACTACTATAGGCCACACGGAAGGATAAGCGCACTGACAGGAGGTGTGAGTACCCTTGGACCCAGCCAGGCAGAAAACTTGTAAAGTCCAGTGTGCTTGGGTGAAAGGGATTGAGGGGAGAGCCAGACACGCCCCAGAGTCTAAGGTTCTCAGGCCTTAATTTTGACAGCTGGGAAGATTACATATACAGAAAAGTATTCTCCCTGCTCAAGTGGCCCAACCAATGCACTCCTGCCCTTTTCACACCAGGGCCTCAGTCACACAGTCCTAAGGCCCTAAGAGCCAAAAAGTACCCTGCAATCTCTGCCAATGTTACAACACTCTTAAGTCAGAGCCCAAGTGGGTCAAACAATTAACCCCTCAAAAATGTTCTCCAAATGGGGACAAAGGGCCTGGAGGTAACATGGAACTACAAATACCATACTAGCTTTCTGACAAAAAGCCACCCCAAAAATGTTATGAACCACACCGCTAATGAGCAAAGATAAAGGAATTTCAGCCAACACCCAACTTCCTCCCTTAAAGCACTGCTTTGCTGTTAAATATTGAACTCCATGCCAGAAGTCGCTAAAGTGGGAAGATTCTCCCAGCCCAGGCCTAGTGGTCTGTGCCCGGGCGGGGTCACAGCGGACCAGCGCCCAAATACCGGAGCATTAGTTCCGCCCGCCCCGGCCGGCTTCTTCCGCAGCTGCCCACGGGGAGCTCAGAGGGAGGGCGTGGACGCACCCCGCCAGCCCCCAGTCAGGCTCCTCCACCCCGGGCTACGTACCGCAGTGCTGCCCGCCTCATCGCGCTAGGCTGCCGTGCACGCGGATGGAGAACCGGGCCCGCAAGGCAGTCGGACAGAAGGAAAGGAAGGTGCTGGCGCGAGAACCAGACCAACCGTCACTCCCTACAACCGCGCCCTGACGGCGAAGCGGCCCTGGAGATACACCACACCACTGGGGACGCAGCCACGCTGTGCAGAGGCGGGGTCGCACCGCCCCGGAGGGCGGGGCCGCGCCGCCCGGGGGGCGGGGCCGCGCTGCTCCCGGCAGGGCCTGTCTGTTAACCGAAGGAAAGCTGAAATGAAGTCCACCTTTGCGGAGCTTCCCACGCAATCAGCTGTGCCGGGTCTGTTGCTAAAGCGGGGGATCAGCCTATTCCCGGTTGAGTAAATGTACCACGCAGCACTGCCAGGGCGGTGACGGGAAGAAAAGGCGCGGCTCTGCCCAGTGGAACTTGTCTCCGTTGCTATTCTTGACCTCTGCGCCTCGGCTTCCAGTCTGTGGTTCTTGCCCTTGCCTTCAAGGAATCTCTTAGGCAGCTTTCCAAAATACAGATGCTTAGGTATTTAGTCACGTGTGCCGCCTGGGCTTCTAAAGGTCTAAAAGTGTCCCAGGATATAAATTTACCTATTGGGTACAATGTACAATATTCAGGGGAAGGCCAGGCTAAAAGCTCTGACTTCAGCATTATACAATTCATCCATGTAACAAGAACATTTGTACCCTCTAATATTTTGAAATAAAAATTATATTTAAAAATACAATATGGGGGCTGAGAGCAGTGGCTCACGCCTGTAAGGGAGGCCAAGGCACGTGGATCGCCTGAGCTCACGGGTTCAAGACCAACCTGAGAGAGAGCGAGACACCACCACCGCCCCATCTCTAGGGTATCTGGGTGTTGTGGCGGGTGCCTGTAGTCCCAGCTACTTGGGAGGCTGAGGCAAGAGAATCGCTTGAGCCAAGAGTTGGAGGTTGCTGTGAGCTGTGACACCACAGCACTCTACCCAGGGCAACAAAGTGAGACTGAGCCTCAAAAAAAATAAAAAAGAATAAGAAAATATGGGAAAGAGAATAAAAGGTGTCTTTCAATCCAGAAAAAGATAAAAAAAAAAAAGGTTCCCCAGGTGATGCTAATGTAACCAAAACTTGACAAGAAAAACTTAACAGAAAAAACTTAACAGAAAAAATTGTTCCTCTTCTAATCTCGGCCTGCCCCCTAGTGTTTGACATCTTGGCCGACCTAGAGAAAGTCAAGGCCAAAGAACCTTAAGATTTCACCCCACAACCTGATTCTCAATTTCATTTAACGTACTCTTATTTAACTGTCTGCATTACGCCAGGCACTGTTGTAGACTCTGGGGATGCAAAAAAAAAAAAAAAAGCCCAGTTAGGGGGCTTAAGTTATAGGGAAGGAAAACAAATCAGCAAATAGGTTAACAAATAACAATTTCAAACATGGTAGTCTTAAGAGGAAATAAAACAAGGTAATGAGAGGGGTCTTTTGAGAATACATGCAAGTCTTACTTTGCCTCTAAAAATGGTAATTTCCTAGGAAGCAAAGACCATATCATATGTTTCATTGGAATAACCCATACTTAGTAAAATTTGTCAATAACATTGAGCTAGCTGTTTTTAATCATTTAACAAGTTATAAATAGTTTTCTATTTTACCTAACTGTCTCTGTTTTTAGCAGTCTCACAACCAAAAGACTCCTCTTTTAGACCACAGGGATCTCTCCTTCATTTTTGTTCATATTCTCTGTACCTTTTTAGTGCCTGTTTTGTTGCGTTGTGTCAGCCATACATATTTATACTCTACCACACCCAACACACAGTGCAATAAATATTGTCTTGGAATTATACCATTTTTGTTCATTTTTTTTTTCTTTTCTGAGACAGAGTCTCACTCTGTTGCCCTGGGTAGAGTGCTATGGCATCATTGCTCACAACAACCTAAAACTCTTGGGCTCAAGTGATCCTCTTGCCTCAGCCTCCTGAGTAGCTGGGACTACAGGTGCCTGTCACAATGCCTGGCTAGTTTTTCTCTTTTTAGTAGAGACCAGGTCTCACTCTTGCTCAGGCTGGTCTCGAACTCCTGAGCTCAAGCAATCCACCTGCTTTGGCCTCCCAGAGTGCTAGGATCACAGGAATGAGTCACCATAACCAGCCATTTTTGTTCATTTTTACTTGAACGTTTGGTTGAAGCAATAGGAGGCTCAGGGAGAAAAATTAAGTTCAAGAGAACTTTTTGGGTTATATATATGGTATAATAAGTAGGACAGTTTACAATTTTTGTGCAATCAAGTAACTTTCCATCAGTTTCCAAAATAAAGCTAGATACAATCTCATCAATACATATTAACAGCATTGATTTCAGCTGGAATAGCTAGAACTAGGAATGCAATGCCATGAAGATGCCTTCTCTTCATTGTTTATCTTTGCTTTGCACACTGGCTTCATTCTTTTTTTCTCTCTGTGTAATGGTATTCTCTACATTGCAAAAGAAGCTCCTGAACTTTTTTTTTTTTTTTTGGCAGTTTTTGGCCGGGGCTGGGTTTGAACCCACCACCTCCAGCACACAGGACCAGCGCCTTACTCCTTTGAGCCACAGGCACCGCCCAGCTCCTGAACTTTACATCTTACAACTACAGCCACACACATAAGAGACTGGCCCAGATTTCTATGTCCCAAGTACAAAAACTCCTGAGAAGAGATTCACTGGCCTAATTGAGGTCAGGTACACATTCCTGGACTAGTCAACTGTGGCAGCAAGGCAAGGGCATACAATTGGTCCACTTGACTTACCGGGAACCCTCTCACCCAGACCCGGGTCACAGTTGTTGGGTCACAATTTACTACCATGGCTGTTTCCACAAGAAAGCACACAGATGAGGATCACTTTCTTAGAAAAGGAGTACCAAGAAATCAAACCCATAGAGATCCACTAAAGATGTTATTTAAAGATGGAAAAATGATCTCATCACTTAGCCTTAGTTCTAACCTCAGAAAACCCCTGCCTGCTAGACCTAGCCAGCACAGCATTCATGCACATGTCTCCAATTATCTCAATTGGCAGTATACATAAAATTCTTAAAACAACTTAGCAACCCTGGTTTCTACATGTGTAGTGGTGGTGTTGTCAAGTATATTTTCTATACCACATTTTGGATAGCAGGGATGGCAGGTAAAGTGGTCACAAAATCAGATCAGAAAGTGTGCAGCAATTGTATAGTGGTGTTAATCACTGTCCTTGAGTAAGAGATTCTCCACCCCTGCCTTTTTGTTTCTTGTTATGTTCCATTAGTTCTATTTTGATATGGTCTCAGGGTAACAAAGATGGTATGAAATGTGTGATTAAAATAAAAGGCTCCTAACCATGTTGACAGATACATAAGATATTACCAATGTCATTATAATAAACAGAGCAATAAAATCAAATAAGAAACCTAACAATACATTGTCAGTTAAATCTAGTATTATAAGTGAAAAAGATCTAATAACCATCTTTTGTTGGGCTGATGAACTATATATACTACTTCTGAATATCTGACTTAGGGAGAAAATATTCTTGGGAATCTGTCAGCAACTTTCAAATAAACTAATTCAAGCTATGATTTCATTAAAATGGAAAAACCACTTTTTAAAAATTAGCTTATTTCAGGCTGGGCATGGTGGCTCATGCCTGTAATCCTGGCACTCTAGGAGGCCAAGGCAGGAGGACTGCTTGAGATCAGGAGTTGGAGACCAGCCTGAGCAAGAACAAGACCCCCCATTTCTACCAAAACAAAAAATTAGCCGGGCATGGCACATGCCTGTAGTTCCAGCAACTCAGGAGGCTGAAACAGGAGGATCACTTGTGCCCAGGTATTTGAGGTTGCAGTGAGCTATAATGATGCATTGCACTCTAGATGGGACAACAGAGAGAGTCTCTGTCTTTAAAAAAAAAAAAAAAAGGCTTGGCACCTGTGGCTCAAGCGGCTAAGGTGCCAGACACATACATCTGAGCTGGCGGGTTTGAATCCAGCCTGAGCGGGCCAAACAACAATGACAGCTGCAACCAGCTGCAACCAAAAGATAGCTGGGCGTTGTGGTGAGTGCCTATAGTCCCAGCTACTTGGGAGGCAGAGGCAGAAGAATCGCTTGAGCCCAGGAGATGGAGGTTGCTGTGAGCTATGATGTCACAGCACTCTACCCAGGGCCACAGCTTGAGACTCTGTCTCAAAAAAAAAAGCTTATTTCACAGATTACAGAGATTATACAAAAGGTTCTAGAATAAAATTGGGAGGGGGAGGACGAAACAATGGAAAAATATTTTCCACCTAAACATTCAAGAAAAAACCACAAAGACAAGTGGGCTGTTATATGAAAGTGCTTAGTATTATACCAACTTGCTCCATCTGCAGCAAAAACAAGCATGGGTTCCATGCCCATAGCTCAGTGGTTAGGGTGCTGGCCACATACACCAGAGCTGGTGGATTCAAACCTGGCCCAAGCCTGCTAAACAACAATAACAACAACAACAACAAAAAATAGATAGGCATTGTGGCTGGAGCCTGTAGTCCAAGCTCCTTGGGAGGCTGAGGCAAGAGAATTGCTTAAGCCCAAGAGTTTGAAGTTGCTGTGAGCTGTGACACTACAGCACTCTACTGAGGGCAACATAGTGAAACTCTATCTCAGAAAAAAAAAAGCAGCATAGGCAACTTAGAAACCATGACTTTTTTTTTTTTTTTTTGCAGAGTGTCAAGCTGTCATCCTGGGTACAGTGCCATGGCATCATACCTCACGGCAACCTCCAACTCTAAGGCTCAAGCCATCCTCTTGCCTCAGTTTTTCTATTTTTAGTAGACACGGGGTTTTGCTTTTGCTCAGGCTAGTCTCAAACTCGTGAGCTCAAGCAATCCACCTGCCTCCACCACCCAGAATGTTAGGATTATAGGTGTAAGCCACCATGTCCAGCACAATTTAGAAATTGTGACTTTTTTCTTTGAGACAAAATCTCACTTTATCACCCTGGGTAAAGTGCCATGGCATCACAGCTCACAGCAACCTCCAACTCTTGGGCTTAGGCAATTCTCTTGCCTCAGCCTCCCAAGTATCTGGGACTACAGGTGCCTGCCACAATGCCCAGCTATTTCTTTGTTGTTGTTGTTGTAGTTGTCATCATTGTTGTTTAGCAG